AGAATCAACATACGGAGTACTCCGTATTCGCCGGTGCAATGATAAATGCCGAGACCGAAGGTAACTGCATCGAGAATAAGTGTTCACATGTGTGGGTCTTTGAGAGACATTCACATGCATGCGATAGATCAACCTGCAAGTATCCCTGAAAGGTGAGATCTGAGAGGTGAGAAGGTGAGGTAGTGTGGAGACTAGGATAGCCTGAACGATCACGAGGTGGTGAAACACGAACGTCGATTGGAGCGCGAATGGCGCATTTGTCGAACCTGTTTGGTGGCGCGCCGCGGGATGTAACTCGACAGGGATCTTCACGGGTTACAAGAAGCCGGACTCAGATAGTAATCTACGAGATTCAGAATCCAAAACGGTTAGTCTCAACAGCCGAACAGTTTTGAGAGAAAGAAAAAAAAAAGAAAGCAGAGTTGTCGTTGTCTTGGCCCCCAGAAAAAAGAGAATAGGTCAAATTTGGGTATCGCCGGGCAAATGCCAAACGCCAGTTTTTAAGAAAAAGAAAAAACAAGATTATCGCAAAACAGCAACGGTGGATGCAAACAACAAGGAGCTCTTGTCTCTGCTTGAGGCTTCAGCATACCTTGCAATCTTTTCATCCTCGCGCTCCCTAGGCTCGATTTCCAGACTTCGTTCGTACATGTCGTGTACATCGCCAGCACCTTGGAGGTTACTGAGAATGTAATCTTGAAGTTCGCCGACGGGTTGCAAAAGATAAGGCACATTCTGGTATTGCTGGATATCCCGAATGACCTCTGCAGTCTTAGCCCGCTTATTGAAGTTGATCAATTCTGATGGTGTTAGAGACGGAATACCGTCTTCAATGAAGGTCAAATCTGTAAGATAGACACCTACGATGTGTTAGTCAAATCAAAGGGGTGAGATGCTCCAAGACATTCTGCTTGAAATGGTTGTGATGCATACCGAAGAATGGAATACAGGGCGGGTTAGCGAGATGTAGGGTTTCTCGATATTCGCCAAAGTTCTTCGTACTAGCCATAAGCCGACGCATCTGTTCCAAAACAGCGGACGTGCGTCCGCTAACCTGGCCCCATGTCCTACCTAGACGATGAATGGGTGCAGTTCCAAGAGCCGAAATGATGGATGTCAGGGTAGAATAATTGTTCAGGTTGCGACATTTCTGTATAGTCGAGTTAGTAAGGCCAAGATCAAAGAGATATAAAAAATACATACATCAGCCACGTTCACAAAGTGTTTGATGACCACAACGCGCTTCTTGACATCGCCTTGAGCGAGAATCATTTCAGCGACCCAGTTAGTAAGCTGGTTCGAGTGAAGAATCAAGGCCTTGACATTGGGAGATGGTTCTGGCTCATCGGGGCCGACCTTCTTCTGCCATGTCTTGTTCAAACACTCAGTGGGCCGGATTTTGGAGTAGAGGCGCGACTCAATGATGGTCAACTGCCGAGCAAACTCCGTCGGATCAATGTCGAGGAACTTCAACTTCTTCATATTCTTAGGGATAATTGGTGTTGGTGCGGCGGTGCTCTGAGTTGGAACAAGGCGCTTGACGGTTGTGTCTTGTCCTCGAAGTCGTTGTTCGATCACGGCCAATAATGTAGGGGTTCCTGGCGTTTTTGTAGTAGCAATTGAGTCGCTGGTAAAGGTATGGACACGCCGCAGGAGGTCCATGTGCAGTTCATCATTAGGCTCCATCCAGAAGTGATCGAACCAACTCTTAAGAATGTTGACGACACGGAATCTAATCGGCTTCTGTTTCCGATCAATCCACATTTGCATGTCATCTTGATTCAAGCCAAATGGAGGCTGAACGTTAAATCGCTGGACAAGCAATTCAAATAGTTCGGTGGCAGTCGTGAAAGAGCGATAGGTGAGGAGGAAGGTGTTGTTGAAGGATGCATCAAGCTTATCGTGGCGGGTGAGGTGTTCAACCAATCCCGCGAGTGTTCCACATTTGAGGATTGGCAGGTCTCCCTTGTTATCGTAGAACACTTCGCCTTCATGGGCCATTTTCAAGAACCAGGGAGTCTCTTCTGGCTCGCGGACTGGCTCACGGATTGGCTCTCGCGTGATAGCTGTTGGGGGTGCCTGGCCAAAGAATCGTTGGGCCTTGTCCATATTTCTTCGTACTTTATCGGTGCCACCTTCCTTTTCAGGGGCGTAGGAGGATGGAATTCCGATTGACTCTGCAATCTTGGCCATGGACTCGCCTCGGCTATGCATCTTCTTGAACGACTCATCATCCGATTCCTGGCGGCTACCACGTCGTAGAGATGATACTGGCTCGGTGGGGATTTGCTCAAGGAGCAGCGACAGCGAGAAACCAATCTGGGAGACATAGTTCTCCAACTGCCTGGCGATGCCTCGCACGGCATTCACACGATCGTCGAGAGAATTACCACGAAGCTCAGCCCACTCATCGGCCAGAGGGGCGGACACTGCTTGACAGCTCAGGACGAAATCTCCAATAGCATCATAGGCTCTCTGCTTTTGCAAGCTAAAGTCTACTAGCTGGGGGTTCTGGAAGCTGGTACCCAACGGAGCTAAATTCATCGACTCGACAGAAGAGATCCATGGGCGAAACTGTTCAATGACCTTGATTGCAGCAGCGGAGATTGCATCCGCAATATCTGCATGTTCCTGCGCTGTGACGATCTTCCGGTTTAGAACCAGCCGTTCTTCTAGTCGCCGAATGCTACCAACAAAAGATCTCCTGAGTATGTCGATTGAATCCAAAAACGCAGTGTCAAGAGAGACCGATGGCTCTGCTCGCGAGTCCCCTCCATCCGGGACAAGGAATGATGTCGGACCTGAAGTATGCAAAGAAACACCGTTGTTCTGCCAGCTACCACCGGAAGAGCTACCACTGACGAAGCCAGGCACAATGCGATGAATCACATCTCCGCGCTGTTGTTGTGCCACTTCCACGTAGCCATACACACCCTGCATAACTCCGTCGGCCTCCTGCAAGCATTTATTGGCCGAGTCGGCACCAGGCCAATCAGCGGCAGCAATGTGTGATGAAAGAACCAGCTTCGAGAATTTGGACATCATGTCCCGGAAATAAGGATATAGGGCCTTGTTTGTGGAAATGATAGATGGGTTGCCAGAGTGGTTATCCGTGGTGTCAGATCCAGCAGCGAGCAGCATGCGAAGATGGTCGGATATGTCTTCGGCCTTTCTTACATACTCTGCACGCTCACCTTTGAAAAGCGTTTGGCGATAAGCTTCCACGGCGTGCCGCATATTATCCACAAGCAAAGGCCAGGTTATTGGTGGTGCGAAGCCATCGTCGACAAAGTGCTGAGGAGGGTAGGAAATAGAAGGTCTCGAATAGCTTTCGGTCATAGATGTGCTGGTACTGTTTCCGCCCAGGCTGTATGATTTTTGCGGGCGCTTGTTCGGCGGGTGCGGCATTTTGAAATCTTTAGATCCTGGGGCGTACAACGAATCCATAGACGTGGCGGGGGATATCCCGTCCATCACGGACTGGCGTCGGCGAGAAATCGAGCCATGCGAGCCTAACATCAATGATTCTCCTTCGGCCTCCGATGCAGAGCCATCGTACTCGTCTTCATCTCGCTCAAAACCACGGGCCATCATCTCCGGGGGTGGCCGTGTCTGGTCGGGGACATAGAAATTATTTCGATCTCGCGGGCCGGGTTCGATTGTTGCGGTCGGGTTTTCGAAAGGGAGCTCCATGGTGGAATATCCGGTGAGGGTATTGAAGTAGAAAAGACGGCCGTCCGGTGTCGCCTGGGGGATCCAGAATGCGGCCTCTTCCTGCTCCTTGGGCGCTGCGACTCCCTCCATAGGAAGAATCGGCTGTGGGTCTCGAGCGTTGTCATCGGCGTGCACTTCATCCTCGTCATGTCCATCGCCATATTCATCTTCAAGTCCGGAGTCCGCGCCGAGCTCGGTTTCGAGGTGGGTGTGTGCGAACTGGTTGGTGAAATCGTCCGCTTCCGTGAGTGGGGTACAATAGTTACTTGGGAACCAGCCTCGAACATCATCGATTACCCCATCCCACCATCCGGTTTCTAGCTGGTTGAGGACCTGAATAATGTCGCCACGGCGGAAACTCAGGCTAGTGTGATCGTCGGCATCATAGTCGTACATGGCCCGTACGAAGAGCGCGGGGGGCTCCGGGCTGACCGCATATCCAGAGGCCATTTTGCTCGGGGAATGGTTGATGTGGTTGAAATCTCGTGATACACTGTTTCCCCGACCGCGATAGCGGGATAGGGCTGTGGGCGTGGTCACTTGTTCGTCGGTGTACTCGAATGCGGTCGCAACAGATCCGGATTTGGCCAGCGCAGTAGTGTCGACAGCTAAATCTGCCGCGCGAATCCCAAACATCGGTGACTCACAGGGCCACAGTCCAGAGAGCTTCTGGAGGGGTTGAGGGGGGGGTGGTTTGAGCTCAATATCCGCTCATGACTATATTCGACGTTGAGGCGAGGGAAGCAGAGTCACTTTTTACCCAGACTAAAAAAAGACCTTGCGTAGTCAAAGAACAAGAATCCAGCACAGCGGATTATGCCATCAACGAGTTATAACAAAAGCAATGGGGAAATGGAAGTGGGATTGAATTAGGGGAAGTTGCACCAGGTGGAGGCGGGACGGGCGCATGCAATACCGGTATTAATACACGATGGAGCCCATGGAAAGGCTGTTTTGAGGGGGATCCAGCGGAAAGATACCATGTGATTACAATACCATACATCCTCATGAAATATTCAATGTTTCTATCTTTGCATGAACACGACGTCCAATGACACCAAGATGAGATACTGTCAATTATAGACTTGCATATCCACAGTCTTACAGGTACCACATCCCATTTGACATGATGTGACTCTAACTTGCATTTGACATAGCTTTTAGGAAGTTCAAGTCTGGGCCCTTGGACTAATGGGGGCAACTGTCCGTGTGTTGGTCCTGGGGACATCTAGAGCCCCAGACTAATTTATTATTACATACTTGGTTCTGCGTCTTTCTTTCACAGCATGACGTTCCCCACTGTCTGTGTGTCTGTGTGTGACGAAATATCCACGCTTATAACAGCCGGGTGTACCTAGGCATGCTGATAGGGTCACATTTTGCCTATACGGGTTCAAGCAGTCACCCTGGTTAGGTACATGTGTATATTGTACCATGTAGTTCCACATATAACCTCAAAATCGGTGGTAGAGGTAAGAATATTAGAAAATACTCCGTGAAAGACTGGTCCATGGCCCACAAAGACAAATTCGACTATGGTTATTGGTGGTTTGGCACATGGAGACATCTATCAATTTGCAATGAAGAACGACATGGGATCACCGAGCTGCAAGTTTCCTAGATTTGACACATTATATGTACTCCGTAACTTAACTCCTACTATCTCCATTCAATAATTGATCAAGGATATCCTAGCTTGAACCAGTAAGGGGATCCAAAAACTACTGCGTTATGTACCTCGGGGAGCCGATATGCGCAAACCCGACAACCTTGTCTCAGTAAGAATGAACGATAGGGTCCATATGCTCGATATCCAACAAGACCAGATGCCCAGGCCCAGAGTGACGAAAGACACTTTTGTTATCTTCGTTGTTTCTATTATAGCATCCATGGAACTCTTTCAGACAATCGGAAAAGATGTCTATTATTCTCTAATCAATAGGCGCTAAAATAGTTCTAGAAGGCGGTTTTTAATATATTTAATTTCGAGCTACTCTAAAGTGGATTTTCCAAGTTCCCACTTTCCACAATCGGATATCCTGGCGCTCGTCCCCGGTACCATACATAACAGCATACAACAATGTAGGTACATATGTTGTACGGAGTACACATGATATACACGTAATAGCCAAAACAGGCCAATGAAGTCCCGTGGTTGATGTAAGTGTGGATAGACAAGAGGGTCGGTGATATATTACTGCATGGCATGCAGCCTCGTTCCTAACGCCAGCTTTCAAGACTAACTCCTTAGAGGTAAAACTTTGTTATGTACGATGTTTCCCAACGCATATGGACTTTATAGAATGCTATACATCGTACAGAGTACTCCGTATGTTGTACATATGCGATCAGAATCCTTTGGCTTCTCGGATGAGGCGTACTGACAGCATATGGCATGATCTGAACAGCTAATCCAAATACTTCAACCATGGTACGGAGTATTCCGTAAATCTCCACCTGGGCAATTGTTATTTCTGCATGAAACTCCCTGCGTATCGAGAACCTTTCAAAGTAAGCTTCGACCCTGATAGGTTACGTAGTGTAAGACCGTTGGTTATCAATTCAAGGCCATGCACAATGGACCCGAGGGTTTGGGAACTTATCCACTCAACGGACCGTTTCTTCGCGTGGGGATGAGTAGCATTGAGAAGGTTGTGTGCTCATGGGCGACGCGTAATGCTCTGCGGACAAGGTTCGGCGTCTCATGCATTATGGAGGATTAATGCCATATTCGACATACTCAAAGCAAATCAGGATTCAAAGTTGTAGTAGCATTGTATCATTACAACACGCTGTAGAACTCGGTCCGCTTCTATCGAGGCGAGAAAGTCCATGCAATGTAGCTGGAAGTTGTCTCTTGAGCAAGCCCTAGAGGTGCATTGTACGCAAGTTGTTCCTTGGGCATATTAACCTGCGTCTGAAGATAGTATTTTGTGCCCATGTGAGCATATGTATACATGCTCCTCGTCGTGGAATCCAGTGTATCTGAGAGCTATTAATATCGGATGAAGCGGAGCGCCAATTCAGGGGACAGTTTCTGATTAGGTTTATACGATTTACCAACATCGATCAGGGTCTCGACTTGGGACCAACCTCTACATTACTTTCGTTTCCCGTCGAGTATATGGTGCAATCGAAGGTATCATGGGACAATAGATAGAAGGATCTATGTGTTGACAAGAAAATAGGTTGAAGATATTCGACCTTAGTTATAGATATATATTGATATATTTCTAGCCAATAACATCACATATTTTGAGCCCTATTAAGATCAACCTCAAAACTACAGAATAAACAGACATGAGACATCAAGAAACAGCACAATCGGACTCACGTAAAGTTCCACATAACTAGCATACGTTTTACTTGGTATACTTTTACCAGAATAGCTCTCTATCACCTTCCCGATTAGGAGAATGAGCTGAAACCATATCTTAAGTATGCAAGTGCATAAAGGTTACCACTATCTCAATATCCTATTCCTGTTGAATTCCAAATTCCAAGTACCTAATAAATCCCCTCATTCTTCAAAGTACGATATATCTAACTACGGATGGAGTACTCCGTACGGAAAATGTTATAGAAAGCGAGCGAGAACGAGACTAAGAAATCCAATAAACCAAGAGGCGCCTAGACCTTCGGAGTAAGCTGTATACGGAGTACTCCTCCAGGGCAAGCCCGATAGCAACTCAAACGGGCTTCAAATTAAAAAATTGCCACGACGCTCGTTCCTTGTTCCTTGCAGCCGGCCAGTCGCAGGAACCCAGACGACATCATCACCTCACAAGCCGCCCCAGCCGGAGAGATTCTCACCTGCCGAGACCCAATCCTGCCGCTCGGTGCAGCGCACACCCAATAGCGACACGATCCCACCCTCTTGTTTACCCGGAGTCCTGGGTCTCCGATGATCATTAACTCCCCCCTTTTCGTTCTTTTTTCTTCTTCTTCCCACCTCGATGCGACACGACACGGCCAGTTCCCCACCTACTTCCCATTCCCGTCTCCCTTTGTTATCGGATGGAGTAGCCCCCCAGTCTACACTATGAAAGTCTATTCATCGGTGATTCCTTTGTTCTCGAAGACGGGCGCGTCGCACGTTTAAACCTTAGCGGGGTTCGAGCAATCAAGACGCGACACTCAAAACGAAGAGCGCTCCCTCCGTTCTCCGTCAATTTCCTAATTTAGTCTCCCAGCCCCGTGTCCACCTTTTTCGAGAAAATTCCGCGGGCGCATCTCCGCGCGGGGGAGGGAGGGGACCATCTCCGTTGGATAAGTATGTTAGCGATCAGCAATATTACACAAGTAAAATGCATGGATGATATTGAACGATCTCGCGAATGTGATGAATCGGTGCTCGCATATGTGGTGTATCCCCTGCATCGGAGGAATCGTCCAATCAACACGGCCAATTTGTCAACGCGACAAGGGGTCGAGGAAGGCACTTGCGTTTCTATGCACGGCACGTTATATGTATGTGCAGACACAGAAATCGGCCGGGGCTCAATCTGTCTCGCAGGTTGTGCAGAAATGGAATTGTGACTCGTCCGTCTGATACGAAGAGAATCAAGCTCCGGGAGTGAACCATGGACCGGAGGTCTTCCCCGGACGTCCCCTTCCGTCACGATCCAGGGATTGGACGATCGCATCTGCGATTGATCATGTTTCCATGGTTCAAAACAAGTTGGATGAACAGGCCTGTCATGCAGCCGTAGATCATCTACATGAACGGAGTAGGAGTATGGAGTACAATAATGTAGACAAAGCACAACATATGGGCCGGACAGGGTACTCCGTACAACATACATACTCCATACCTACGGAGTAGAGGGCTCTGAATTTTATATTTCAGGTTTCTCAATATCCACATGCTACACGCTACACGAAAAGCTTCTGTTTACCCGTGTCGCTGGATGCGGTTACAAGACGCGGGCGCCCGAAGTCCAGACTCGTGTCGGGATGGTCGGTGCGAACGTAGAATTCGGAAATGGACTTCCTGGACCGAGTAGGCAGGCGAATTTTCTATTATTGTGTAATACGTCCGTACTCTGAAACCCACTGACGGCCCGTTGTCTGGTAAAGAGTTTTACGACGTACAACACAAAGCACGCGTTGGGTGGAGAGCGACTCGGGGCTTTGTCTCAACGCTGGGATGTTGGGGTCTATTATTTAGCGAAAGTAAATCGGCGATAGCGCGCACAATGGAGACTTGAATTTCAAGCCAAAATCCAGTTTCCCGATTTACGCGATCAATAATGACCCTCACACCGTTGAGTCGGTTGAAGTCGAGACCCGTGGGGACAGGCTTGTTCAATAGATTCTTCATACATACTCCGTACAACCTACCGAGTTGGAATCTTGCCGAAGCGGTGAAGTCCAAATATATTGACACGAAACGGGCTTCACCGACATGTCTGGCTTTGAGACGGCTGGCTTGGGCTTACTCACAGAATAGGACCGAGTTGGGAGATTCCAGACCGTCCTGGCGTCCACGGCGGAGACGCCGGACCTTGGCTATGGAGTAGTCGGGACGATGGGCTCCAGCAACGCCCGTCTGTCGGTGTCCACTAGCTCAGGGGGCGCCGGGGAAGAGGTTCCTGAAATTCTTGTTACAGTAGTGGGCTTGCTGAGGTGGAGCAGAGCTCGAAGGGAAAATGGTCAAAAATATCTGATTCGTAACTGGTCCGATTGGATCCTCCGTGCAGATCCATAATTGGGCGGGTTTTCGATGGTTCTTTTGTTCGTGCTTTTGACCGCTCGGAGGGGCATGGAATGAAAGACCAAAGACATATCCCGGACTTGCGGCCCAAGGGATTGGGAATGGTGGATCCTCTGGTGTATTACCTTTCGAGGCAAGGAAGCAATAAAGTATTTGCCAGGCGGTCAAGTCACCGCTCTCCGTGTGATATCATTGCCAACTTGTTTTGCTTTTCGTTCCTGGGTCGAGAGCGTTAGACTGGGTCGGTCCGCTGCATCGGGAAGTGGACCGAGCAGCAGCTCGAAGGAGGTCGACCGGTTGGGTTTGCATCAAGAATCGAAGGGTTTGATCCCTTGGTGAAAAACCTAAGCCGTCCGACTTCACCGCCGGGGCTTGAAGCTAGTTGATAAGTCTAGATCCACCAGATCAGATGAAGTTTCGCCCAGGCTTCGATGATCAACCGGAAGTCCGGGACAGGATTTAGGGATTTGGCTTCCGCGAATCAAGGGGGTGCTCAGGTACAGGCTAGATAGGACTCCATATGCCGGTCGATATGAGGTGAAACTTGTGCTAATTCCAACTCCATTTGCTTGTCCAGGTGAAAGAGGCGTGCCGTGTTCGAAGCGCGTTTCCCAAGTAACCGCGTCGCTGGTCCGCGTCCGGGATCTTCGGGCTCCAATGATGTAAGTGTTGGCTTCGCCCCACTGATAGGACCCGGGAACTCGCGATTCCCAATTTCCAGCTCGGTGATAGGTAACGGTGTTACTTTGGAGCACAGAGTACACATGACTGGCAGGTTTTGCGGTGTATAAAACTGCAACTTCACCGTGTGGAGCCCCGAAAGATTTGACAGCTAACTGGGCATTCGGCCGTAGTATAGCATTTGTAGCGCGGTTAGCCGTAATCGTTTGTGCTGGCAATGCAAA